AGGAGTATGCCTCACGAAGTGGAGAAAACAGGTTCAGGTTCATATAAGGTTAGAAGAGTAGCATGCCTACTATAGTCCTCGCCAAAAATACTTTAGGTGCCACGTATTTGGTTACAATGTCTCTAGTTGTCTGACGAGCCGAGTCGTGTCTTTTCACCGAACAGGATGTCATGGAGGAGGTTAGCAATGAGGAGAAAGCGAAGGAATAAGGTGAGGTGTATAACCTACCACAATAAGAAGGAGAACCACTTGTGGTTCAACGGATTTTATAGGTTGAGGATATGGCGAATCCGTAGTGGCTTCGTTGCAATATATTCTACACTCATTGCACGGTGAACGTTAAAGTATGCGGTTTCATCATCGATAAGGGAACAGTTAGAATGTGGCATCTACGCAGGTGTCTCATGACTCAGAGGCACTGTCATATTCTCTGATGTGGTTGAAGGAGGAGAATAGAGTTGTCATCAATCAAAGATGTCTAGCAAAGTTTTCAATCGGGTGAGGTGCGATGTGGTCCCTATGAATGCTTGTCACATTTTATTAGGGAAACCGTGACAGTTTAACCGAAGGTTTCAGCACGACAACACATATTCCTTCACCAAGGATGTGAAGCACATCATCCTGCTTCCTTCGACAGAGATCGAGACCACAAAAGTCCTTGTCAGCAGAGCAACATTGGTGATATTAGTTTTGATGACAACTCAATTTTGGTGCGACGGGGGATGCTATGATTGAGACACCGGTGCCAAACACGGGACGTGAACTATAGATGACACTTCATATCACGGTTGACATCTTTACCATCATGGCCACCACTATGCGATGGGAGTCGGGCTACCTTATCCTCAGATCGGTTTGAGCCGATTGTGGATTACTTTAGGAGTATGGGCGAGACACAAACAGTTCAGTTCAGTGGTGGGACCCCAGGAGAGCGGATCAATATGGGGGTATGCTCGCAAGTGGAGAAAACTTTTTCGATGCTTTGGGAGACAGTGCAATCGAGAGTAGGATTCAGGTGCTGCTAAGATTGAAGGCGAGGAGCTAGTCTTGCTCCGACAAATGAAACTCTCCAACCCCGGGAGATAGACGCGGGGCTTAGGGAAAAGGCCTACTGAATCGGCCTCTGGGGGGTCCTGTTGAACCGGTAGGCCCTCTTAGAATTGGGAATTTCCGCTCACACTCGCCTTCCTCGATTCTTGCCTTCCTTCCTTGGCCTGATTCCCGCCTACTTAGAGTTGGGATCCACCTACTGGGAGTAGGGATTTTCCGCCCACTGCTTCCCTTTTCTATTTCCCACCTACCTGGAGTCTATTTATATATTTGTTTGTTGGAATTAGGGTTATGTTTTAATGTGTTTCTCTTACAGCTTTCTGCATGAAGTCTTTCTCCCTTTGCTAGGGTTGTAGCTGATGATCGGTAGTGCATAAGTTGTATCCTACTCTGAGATGGTGTTGTGTATCCTCTCTGAATCCCTACCTTTTTTCTTCCCTTGCCTCCTTTACCCGTTGGCCTGCTCCTACAGATTGCTGCCCCTTACCCTGTCGCATGCGTGCTATCCCACCTCCCCAACTGCCCTTTATATAGTTTTCCTGAAGTGCCTGCAGCCCTCCTATCACTTTCCTCCGCTGTCGTGTCCCTACCCTGCAGCCCCCAGCTGCTGCCGCCACCTCCTTTTTCTTCACTACGATTGTTGTCCGCCCTTTCCTCTACCTCTACTAACTCCCAAACACCTCACAGACACCACCACTGCCCTCAAATTTTCTCTTCCGGCTGGCCGGGATTAGTGTTTGTTGTTATTTGAGTTCAGTTTTGAGCAGTATATGTGACTCCAATCATTTACTTAGTAAAATTTGCTTCAGTTAACGCTGGTTTGATTAGTTCCAGTATCAAACCTGTATCAAAAGATGACCGGCCATAAAAAATGCAATACTTCCTCAGCTGTCAACAAACGCATATCATAGATTTAGCTTTGAATTTGTTTCCTTTGATTCGTTTCCTAGCCAAGATTTTTGACTGGATCTTTATATTTTAGGTTAGAAATATTTCAACCTTACATGCATTAAGCTGTAGAGATAATGGTTTTGGGTTCTTGTTTTGCGTAACTACCCTTATAAGAGAAACATAAGTATCGAAATAGTCCCCTTACTGTTTAAATGAGGTCATTTTAGTCCTGGAGTCTATAAAATTGTCAAATTGGTCCAGAAATTTTTTAAAGGTTGAAATAGTACTCTGTGGGAACCATTTCAGTCCATATTTAAAGTATGTGGGAACTAAATTGGTACACTTAGAGATTATGAGAAATGATCTTCTCCAAAGAGTCACTGTACTATTTTGATATTTTTTCAGAAAAAAATATAAATATTTTTAGGATTATTGTCTTTCATACATCTCCCAAATCCTTTTTTTTTTTACTTTTGAAATTTTACTTTATTACTTCAATACCATATGTTTTCCGTTTCTGTACAGGAACTGCACTCAGAGGCCAGAAAGCTGCGAGAAGAATTGCACCAAGGCATGCATGATCTCAGCAAGAAAATTGACTTGGTTGTGCTAGTGCATAACCTGTCTCAGCCAATACCACGATGCCATCAATCAAGCACTTCTTCAGCACAGCCGGCCCTCTCTTCTCTTCTGAATGAGGTCAAAACTTTGGGCACCCCTTGGGTTTTGGCCATCACAAACCGATTCTCCATCAGCACACGTGAGCATAAGATGCTGGTCAAATCTGCAATGGAGGCATATGAAGCACCGCCCGCCATGGCTGAAGTCGTCAACTCGTGCCCTTTTGTTATGCCAGTTGTATCTAGTTTGACTCCGTCTGTGAAAATGATAGAGAGCAACTTTACGAGGAGATTGAATGCTCTGAAGATGATCCTGGCTCCAATCAATCTTTTTCGAATACCATTTCAGAGGAAAGACATAATCTTTCCTGTTGAAGGGGTTGCTGCATTCCGAGGACTGGTGCATCATGTTCTTCGTAGCCGCGAGGAGACGGCCTTTCAAGTAAGAGTCTTGAATCCCAAAATAATCTATTTGCACATCATTCATCATGCTCTCTTTAAATATAAGATGTTTTTGCTTGCATCCTACAGTCAATTGTCAGCATTTTCTTACACTTAAAACTTTTAGATTTAAGTATATATTTATAACACTTTGGGACTGTTTGGTAATGGATTTCATATATTCTATAAATCCAGATTTTGCTAAATCCCCCAAAACCATGATTTTGTAAATCCAGAATTTAAACAAAAACTAAGAAGAAGCTAAGAAGAAATTGAATTTATTAAATTCTGATTTTACAAGTTGTTTTTCTTATCTGGCAAGATTTAATTTACATCTAACTTAAATATGTTACCAGACAGCCTAATATATAAAACACACAAAAAATGCTACTCGCATCCATCTCCATTAGCAACATTACTCATCCAAATTTTGTAACCTTGGTGTTTCTGATGTAATTAAGAGATCAAAAATGATGTAAATATGAGGAGATTTATGTCTTGGATATGTAAATACATAAAAATTGAATGATAAGTATGTAATTTCCCGTTTTTTTAATTTTTGTTGTCAAAATGATGCTTCTATGTTCAGGAACTTGCGAATGAGAGACTGTCGCTGGAGCTGGCGAGGGAAAGAAAGATGGCAGTTGAAGCAGCAGCAGCAGCAGTTTCTCAGGAAAAGGGGGGCTCGATCACAGCAGCAGCAGTCGGTGCATCTCTGGGTGCCGGCCTTGGCCTCATAATGGCTGTGGTAATGGGAGCAGCCTCCGCCTTGAGGAAGCCCTGACACCTTTTAACCTTTTTTTTTTATTGGAAAAAAATGATATTTTTGTTGCTGGATTAGATGAAATTCCGGCTTATTTCTTTTGCTTTTTCTAATTTTTTTCTATATGTTTGTGTGCATATTCTTCTTGTATATGCATGTTTTTTATTAGGTTGATCTACAATACAACTCTCATATATATATATATATATATATATACATATTTAACTTATAAATTTTGAATTTTTATAATGAAATCAAACATGTCACTAAGATTATTTTTCTTAGAAGTTAAAATGTGTTTACTTTGTGTTTTTATGTGATTATAATGTTGAATGGTTATACAAGCAAATATTAATTTTTTTTTTTGTAAATATGTAAATGTATGTAGATCTCCTTTTTTTATTATTATGTTTATGACTCCTTGAGAAAATACTATGAAATGAGATTTTTTTTTATATATAAACTAAATTATTATTTCAGCATGCAAAATTAGATTGCAAAATTCTAATTATCTTATTTCGATTATGCTCAAGTCTCTATTTGAGGAAAAATTATTGTGTGAGGTATTTGACTTGGACCGTCAAAAATTTAGAGTGGTTCCTCTTTAACAATAAAAAATAAAAAAAATGTATTTCAGTGGTCATTGAGACTAAGCGCTAAGGGAGTTTTACATATATGCTACCCAGTTGTTATGTATTTACATATCTAACATCTAAACTATACTTAATGCATTTATAATATCCAAATCATTCATCACATCAAAAATACCTTTTTTTTTAATGTTTAAAAAGTAAAATACACTAATTCGTAGATAAATAAGGTGGATATATAAATATAAATTGAAGTTTACCTATTAGATATGTAAATACATAAGGTATGTCTGTAAATCTTACTATCAATAATATATCAATGTACTGTAATATGTTTAGTGTGGAAAACGGATAATCAATTATCCAGTTAATATATAATAATTAAATAAATATTAATTTAATTTGAATGATCGGCCTCCGGCTCAGGGAGCCGAAATATTAGAGTAAAACAAACAGAATACAGGTATGCAATATCTTAAATGAGCTCTTACTAAGAACTGGTCCCATAATATAAATTTCAATAAAGAAAAGGGGCTTCTAGAATAACATATACGTCACGATGGTCAAACCCGGGCTCTTTGATTTATTAGACAAACAATTTTTGCCCATTTAGTCAAATATTTATATAATATGCCAATTAAATCTAAGTAGGCTTGCTAAAAGAAGAAGAACCGAGAAGTCTCACGTCAAAGATGATTGGTTTTATAACGAAGAGTTTCGCCATCTCCTCCTCAATAAATCCCCACCACCTCTCCCCTCACAACCCATCAATCAAACCTTTCTTCTCAAAATTTAAACTTTCTTCCCCAAACCCCAAATCCAATCCGACATTCCTCACTGAACACAGAAAGAACAGAGTTTCCACCATCATGTCCATTACTTCAAGAGATCACGCAGCTGATAGCTACGAAATACCTCAGATTATGAAGCCAAGAAGCGTAGTTAAAAAGGTTTTGGCCAGAGAGCAGCCGGAGGGAGAAGGAGCTACAGTGAGGAGAAGTATCGGAAGGTGATTCATTGCTTCCCCTGTTCTTGTCTTCTTCGTCTTTCTTTTCTGGTTCGTTTAGGGTTTCGGGCTGATATGAATCTGGGTTTTAATGGCGGTTGCTCCGCTCAGGCCGGAGCATCAAAGTCTGGATCCTTTTCTAATGCTGGATTATGCAACAGGTCTGTTTCTTCTCTTTCTCCTGCTCCTTTAATTTCTCCGCTTATTCTGATTTCTGAAATTTAGCTCTGGTTCTGTGAACAGTTGCTCATCCTGCTCGTTTTCCTTTTCATCCTCATAGAGGTGAGGAAAAAGTGTTTCTTTATTTCTTTCTGCTACTGATTTCAATCTGAGAAAGTTAGTATCAATTAAAAAATCATTTTTTTCTTACTGTTTTTGATCTTCTGCGCGTAGGAATCGAAACTGTGACGTATGGGTTGGAGGTAAAATTCACATTTTTCTCTTCCAAACAAGCGATCAAAATGTTCAAAAAAAAATTTGGGCTTTCAAAAGGACCAAAAAAATAATTACATATAAAATGGACATAAATCTATAAAATTTCAATTTCTTAATAAATTCTATCACAATCACGAAATCTGAGGGCTACTGAAATTCAGGGAGAAATCAGCCATGAAGATTTCGACGGCCGCAAGGGAGTAATCAGGCCCGGCGATGTACAGGTTTGTTCTATAATCATTTGAAAAAAAAAAAAAAACAGAAAGCTTGCTCTGAATTTATTTCTGACATTTTTAATCTTTTTTCTTCAGTGGATGACTGCGGGAAGAGGAATCGTTCACGCCGGAAAGCCCATCGGCGACACAGCTAACAAGAATTTCCAGCTCTGGATCAATCTCTCCTCCAAAGACAAAATGTAAGGACTTTAAATCATCAATACAAATGATAAGAAACTTTAGAAATCGCAGAAGATCCAAAAAAAAATTTTTTGGTTGCTGGCAGGGTTGAGCCAAGCTATCAAGAAAATTTTGGTTGCTGGCAGGGTTGAGCCAAGCTATCAAGAACTTCAAAGCGAGAACATAAAAAGAGTCCAAATCAATGGCGTCGACGTCCGCATAATAGCAGGGGAAGCATTCGGCGTGCGCTCTCCTATCCACACCCGAACTCCGACCATGTACCTCGACATTACCATGAATCCCGGAGCTCTGCTCCACAAACCCATCCCTGAAGACTGGAACGCTTTCTTCTACGTCGTGGACGGCGAGGGAGTGTTCGGCGACGAGGGCTCCTCCCCTGTTTCCGGCCACCATAATCTGGTTCTGAGCAAAGGGGATGGTGTGAGGGTGTGGAACAGATCGGAGGGGAAGCTGAGGTTTCTGCTGATTGCGGGGCAGCCGTTGGATGAGCCGGTGGTTAAGTATGGGCCGTTCGTGATGAACACGCGTGAAGAGATAGAGCAGGCGTTTGTGGATTATCAGCTCTGTAAGAATGGGTTTGAGAAGGCGAAGCAGTTGAAGTTTCAGGATTAGAAGGAAGATGCTGGATGAGTGTGAGGAAAAGGGCTTGCTTCTATATATATATATATTAAAATCAATTATCAATTATACGAATATTTCTTTTATTTTGTTTCTTTTTAAAATTTGTATTTGCCTTTTTATTATAAGATATTATATTGAAAAACTAGCAATGCATGTTTTTTGTACTTAAAGATGGCATTTTATACATATTAAGGAGCACCTTTATTATGCATATTATGGTAATCTTCTTAAAGCTTTTGAAAATGATGTTCTTGATATGAGAATATGAGAATGACCCAAAATATTATGTGTCTATACTCCCCTTTTCAATTTGACTAAGGACTATTTTGTTTCTTTCAATGTTTGATGGAGCTTTATTTAGTACATAAAATTCTTAATTTGTATCTTTCGTGTTCCAATTTTTCAAACGTAAAATTATCAATTTTGCTCTTCAAAACATCCACATTAGGATCTAAAATACAAAATATTTTAATAGATAGTAAATAGAATATTGGCGAGTGAAACAAATAAAATCTTAAATTGAACAAAAAGGATACAAGATAGAGAACAAAAATAATCCATTAAGCTTTAAAAGAAGTGTATGAAGATACTACACTTCACACAAATTTATATATATTTTTTTCACACACACAGACACACACATACAACCCACTTTATCTATTACTAACTAAGAGAGAATGACATCATTTTATGAAAATAACGGGTGAATGCAAAGAAGAAGACAACATCGCTTCTATCTTACTCTTTTTCTTTCTTTATTATAGATATCAAAAAAATATCTTCTCAATCTATGGCCAAAAAGTTCTAATCTTGATGGAACTATAATCAAAAACATCATTTTTTTCTTAGAAAATAAAGACTAGAAAGATCGATTACTCAACCTACGACTAACTTCCAGCAAAAAATTGTTTCGATTTGAGTTCCTTCACCTTGAAGGATGTCAATTGGCCATTTCCTCTCAAGTTTATTGTTAAAATCTTGAAGTAAACTAAAATTGGTGTATCTTAGAATATTGAAAAAATTTGTTTGAGAATTTTAACATAATGTATATTTTACATTTGTCTTCTTCATGTCATCCCTTTCAACAAATCCTTCCCCTAAGAGTAGTCTAATTAGCATATGTTTTTAAACTCATCAAAATTCTTCTAATTAAGCTATATATCTAAAAAAACTCAAAGTTTACTTTGCTCTCTCAGCCTATGTTGTGGGATCATGATATCTCATCTAACAAGCCTTGCAATGGCATGCCCATCACTAACTTCTCCACTCAATTGTAATAATAAACCAACCTCCCCAATGATTTGTCCTACTCAATAGCTCCTAAAAAAATTATCAACAATCATCCCTTTAATGCTCAACATACATGATGACATGCACACATATGAATTCCCAAAGTCAAACATTCATATGAGTTTCACAAGTTATTTTACTAAGACTTTTAGCTTTTATGATTACTTGTCAAATTTCAAGGTGCCACCCAAATAATATGACAATTAGCCTGACTTTGTCCTTGGCTACTACATTAGTTCAATCTCCCAATGAACCTTGTCATTATTGTTGGTCTATTTTTTTTAAGTTAAGTTCATCAAACTCAATCTAATTGGCCTAAGAATTATGTCCTAAAAAAAGTGTTAACATCAACCTCCATTAATAAATGTCATCCTGTCTAATCACTCCATAGGTGGAAAAAGCCCACCATATGTAGTAACCCATCATATCTATAACTAATCACTATCATGTGTTACAAAACATTTGATGAACCTGGTAATCTTTTAACCATACATTATCAACAAAATGGTGCATAATCTCCTCCTAGTTTTAACACATGTCTCACACTTCCTATCTTAAATTTGCATTAGGAGGAAACATAATTTTTTCATCTAAATATTAGAAAGAGTAGTCCAGTACCTACATATTGCATAGCCACAACACACAAGATGTAGCAAGCATTTTTTTACCACATTAAAGCCATGTAAACTTTCCAAGTGCTTATAGATACTTTCTTTTATCCTCTAGGAAGGAAGAATTTTCTTATACTTTTTAGTTCATGAAGCTTTGAAATCTCATATTAAAAGGAAAGATGAAACTCTCTTGTTCTTCTTGCTCTTTCCTTGGCCCACAATTTTTCAAAATAATTAGTTGGATAAAGTGGACCATGGACATAAGTTATAGAGCAAAACTACATACCTCTTAGTCCTATGATGTTCTCTTCCTTCCATTACTTCTTGTCTGATTCATATAAGCTTTTTCACAAAAACAATGTCACATCTTCTTTTAAGGTCCGCTAATAATATTCTTAAAAATTATCTTTACATATGTTTACGTTTGCTTCACAAGACAACTTTTTCTCTTATGCTGAGAATATCTTAAGTTAGAGTCACACTTTCAATTCCTCCTAACTCCACACAAAGTCATCTCAACAATGAATATTTTTATGTCATTTACACTTGTAAAATTTGTCCACCATGCCTCTCTTTTGTTTGACGAGCTCACTCAAACCATATCTTATCCATCTTTCAATAATGACACAGTTAAGAAAGCTTCACATCTTCATTTGCTAAGTCACTTATATAGCCATGAAAGATAAAATCAATTATCTTTCACATTAGCAATTAATTTTGCAAATTTGAGTTAAAATGCCATGAAATAACTAAAGCCAATTTATTATCAAGTTAATTAATTCAAGTTTAGCTAAAGTTTAATCGATTATTAAAACCAATACACTAATATTGGCTCAATGTTATGACTCCAATATTGATTCATAATGATAATTTACTAGCACCATATGTCAAGTTGTTTAAGTTCGTGTGTCATCAAGATGCAAATTAAACCTTCATATCTTGCTCTTTTTTTAAGAGCTTGGGTGACCCCCTTCTAATGAGTTAAAATGATAATAATAATAATAAAATAAATTTTCTAATGCATATTAACAAACAATCACTTTTGATCCAAAAATGAGTATTTTCCATAAAATTTTAATTACAAATTAAATCTCTTATGGTAAATCTGTAAATTATATATTAAAGTAACAATTAAGAAAAAAAATCAAAAAATAAATCTGATGGAGATAATTAAAAGTCTAAGATAATAAAGTTGACATGATGTCATTATGTGTAAACTTTTTCAAAAAAAAATAAATAATAATAATAATAAAATAAATTTTCTAATGCATATTAACAAACAATCACTTTTGATCCAAAAATGAGTATTTTCCATAAAATTTTACTTACAAATTAAATCTCTTATGGTAAATCTGTAAATTATATATTAAAGTAACAATTAAGAAAAAAAATCAAAAAATAAATCTGATGGAGATAATTAAAAGTCTAAGATAATAAAGTTGACATGATGTCATTATGTGTAAATAGTAGCTGGCACGTGTTATGGCTCTTACTTTCTAAAAATAGAAAAATTCAAAGTGGTTCACGCGTGCGTCATGTCATGCATCACGCCTTTCGTCACATCTAGTTTAAATATTTGACCGTATAAAATTTATTTCTCATTGCAAAACTTATTGACTACTGACTCAATTTCTCCTTTAATTTCACTCAACATTCAAATTGAGCTCTAATTTTTCTAAGTTTAATGAGTTAAAATGATTAATATATAGTTGAACAAAGTCCAAATTATATTATTTTGGGGTATTTACTTACATACCACTCCATTCTTATGTATTTACATATCTAGCTACTAAAAATTACATTTTTTATATTTGTACCTCTCATATCTTTCGTATCATATAAAAATATCACTATTTTAACTTTTAAGTAAGACATACGCCTTTTCATGCAAATGTAAGGTGTTATGTTTGTAAAAATTGAAGGTTGGATGTTAGAGATGTAAATACATAGGATTAGAGTGGTATATGTGTAAATCTTCCTAAAACTTTGAACGGTGCCGCTAACCAATCTTTTCTAGATGGTCAGCTTTAAACCATACGTGTCTTCTGATCTTAGAACCCAAATGCACAAAAAAACGAAAGCTTAAATAAATAAATAAATAAACATTTAATATCACACAAAAATAGCTTGGGAAGTAAGAGTAATTAAAAAAAAAAAGTATTTGCATTAATATTTTTTCATTATTTTTTATATATATTTATTTATTATAATTATTATATCCCATAACTAGAATGGGTATCAAATATTTACTCTTATACTTTGATCGCTTCTTTCTTGTTATCATTAAGCAATAAGCGTGAAATCCCTTAGTTGGTCGAACTCAAGCTAGTCGACTAGCCAGTTACCGTCATATTTGAATTCAAATTGTATTAAAGATTTGGTAAAAAAAATTAGACGATCAACTGGAGTATCAATTGTATTAAGGGTCGTTCCCTCTTTTCTATAATTATACAAATATATCTCTATATATAGGAGACAAAGATGAATAAAGGACCCCTCTCGACTTCTCTAGGGAGAATTCTTTAACTACTCTACTCTCTCTCTCTTTTCCACCTCCTCCCGTCTCTAACTCTCTATTCACAAAGAACAATAAGAATTTAATAGATATCCTCCTCTTGCTTTACATAAGAAAACACCTAAAATTTCTTATTTACAAATCAGCCTCTCTTCATCCATTTTTTAAATTTTCATTCAAATATCAAAATGCATGTTAAAACCCTAACCCTTTTTTTTTCATTTTTATCAAATTCTGACATGCATAAATATATCAGTTTGCTAGTTCAACAAAAATCACATAATTAATTAATTTATAAATATCAATATTTCAAATGTTCTGTGTAATTACTATTGCGATGCAATCTCTCCCTCTTTTTATGATCAAATTTACATAAAACTATAACAATATTAATTTAAAATTGTTTGAACATTGCCA